CATCTCATCCAAGCGATGAGCCAAAGTTCTCAAGGACATTCGGCGTTCCTCAGCCACTTCCTTGTGGATCTTTATAGGATCGGTTGATCACGTTCTCTTGGCTGTCGACCGACGCTCAGAGCATAGGAGCAGCCAACATAGTTCAGTCTCGGCCGTCCCCAATAATCGGCAAACCCCCAATTTGAGCGTCCTCGCCTACAAAGAACAAATAATTGAGAAGTAGAAGTTTTACAACAAAAGTAAAGATACGTACTCAAGATCTGAACCGCCTCAAACTAGGTATCTCAGCCTACATCCAACGCTGAAAGATCATTTGCACTCTTTTCTCTCCGACCAACTTATCACCCTCGACAGTTCTTGGTGTAGCAATTGGTTGTGGAGCAGTCGTAGTTTCAGGTGGCTTTGGCCGATGGGCCATCTGTCAAACTGCTCAGCTCCTTTCCAACGCTGGGTTGAACCTTCTTTAGAGTTTTCGGGATCAAGTTGATGACTCTTGTTCCACTCGCTCAGATGGCGTTAACTTCTTAGCAACTTCTTTCTCCCACTTATTTTTCCTTAGCTCGCCTTTTGGTCAACACTTTACTCTAAGGGTAGCTGACATCTTTACCCGATCTACAAGTTTAAGCTCCACCTCAGATCTTTTCTCCATGAGGAAAGTGTAGAAGCTGAGCGGATGCAAGGAGGGACAAATTCGAGATACTGAGAACCGTCTACTAAGCTTTATATATAAGGGTCGTGGGCACGAAAATTCAAGGAGTCTAATTCTTGCATTAAATTAAGACTATTAAGATTCAATTTATTGCATTAAAATTGTTATTGTCCTTATTGTAGCTGCATTATTAAGGAGCAAGAAAATTGAAGAACTTAATATATACAACCAAAAATGGTTTGCATGATTCTCGAGATAATCTAACGATCCATATTAAAAGTGATAAATGTATTACATAAATTGTTTAACTGATTCATTTTGTGAGAGAATGTATAATGTTATAGCCAGTACCTCTCTCATAATTGTTTTAGAAGAACTTTAGAGGCCGTGGTTACGACATAACTCATTTTAAAGATCCATAAAAATGGGCGCAGTCGTTCGAAAAATGTTGTTGAACCTTATCGGATGTCCAACAAACATCTCACTCACCCATTTGTCCCTAACATATGATGACGCCATGCGTGGTATCCGTCTAGTGCTGAAGCAGTAGTATTCCAACAATAATATTGCTATAACTGCAACCCATGCTATTCTTTTACGGCGTTTTTGCTGTGGATCCATCCTGAAATGAGAAATGCATTAGGATGAAATAATTTATGGAGAAGTAGTGACAGGAAAATGAAATAGTAAAAACATCAAGGAGTACAAAGTATCAGAAAATGAATTGCATAAATTGTTCAGGACAGTAAATAAAACTGTCGTGCTAACAATGCATAAGTGAAAATTTTAGTGACAGCTTAATACATAACAAACTCATTCTTCTACTAAAACACGTAAATATTCAATGCGCAGCTTGGGCCACAACGCCATGAACATTTGTCTACGAGTAGGGTTCTCAAGTTTTTTAACACATTTTGGCTGAAAACGCATATCGACAACTACTTCTGGAATAATATCTAAAATGACAACGCAGTCCCAGATGGTGCTGTCAAGGGGAGCTAGAGGAGGTGGAGCTGAAAAGATAGCAATTAGTTGATCAATGAACTTTTCACGAAACTGTCATTCTCTTTTCCTCCTGCCAAGCCTGGGCCTTTTGGACATGGAACTGGACTCCATCTCCTTTTGGTTAATACTAGGCCCCTTCTTCATCAGCTATAACCTGTTCAGGTGATAAGTCATATGGTATTCCTGCAAATCCCAAATCGCTTGGGTTGAATGCATGTTTTGCAGTCGCGACAACCCTCTTAAACATAATGTCCAGTTTTTCCTTGAACTTCGGCTCAATTCCGTCTGCCTATATGTTTTGACTGTTGGCATGACCTGCAACATTAAATGGAATCAGAGGGGTTTAGGCATCAACCAAAAAATACGGGAATTAACAAAATAAGATTGTATTATTACCTTCAATCTTTTAGCCCACAATTCATCTGGAATATCGATTGTTCGCTTAACGGGATCCCGACCCAACCCTGTGGATCCTCATTTGAGCTCCTTCTAAATTATCCACTCCTTCAACTGATCCCATTTATTTATAAATTTGAGTCTGTCATAATCCCTCCCTGTCAATTCTTTGAACCTTCTAGCAATATTTTGCCAACATTCCTTATTGAAATAAGTGGTTGACCTATTTTCTAGTTCTAGTTCTTTAATGCATAGATCACAAAAAATATTTGTTACTTTTTTATGCCACATAGCAAACAGTCCCCCTTCACCCGTCTTAGACATGTTGGAACTATATGGAACAAAGGAAAATAAGTACTTGCATTACCCGATACACAAAACATTTCCACAGTGTTGCAATTTTCTCATCAAAACAAAAAATAAAAGTACACAAAATAACTATGTGGTTTGGTCAAAGACCTACATCCACAGAAGGGAATCAAACATGTTTTATTAAGCTATTGTGCTAGGTTACATAGCTTTGAATCTTAATGAAGAAAACTACAACATGCTCTCTGGTGCTAATCAATTAACCAATAAAGTGTAGAAATCACCAACAATGACTAATTTATATATATATTTAAGAAACTTTGAAGCAATGAAGCAAATATAAGCAGTTAGAAGCAAACAGATAGCCCCTCAACCAAAATATCCAGCACGAGAAGGTATTCCACGAAGATAGAGCACGAGAAGCAAACAAATAGCCTCTCATCACGAGAAGCAAACAAATAGCCCCTCATCATCCACCTCTGCTAAGCAAAGTTTGCATACATCGGCTAAAATTAGACCTGCAATAAGACCTGCAATAATATTATAAATAAGCTCCAACTACCCCATCAGAGGCAGCACAAAGCACATCATCCACCACTGGTCCACTGCTAAGCAGATTTCCAAATACTACAACACTCCTTGTACCGAACTGTATTTGGTTTAATTCGATATGCATACCATCCAAATGAATCAACAAGAAATGAAAGGCATCAAACGATGAATAGCAGCAGACCCTTCCACCACATCAAAACGATGCATTTCACAGAAATTTGTCACAACCAATATCACTGTATGTATGTAAAATGTCATTTCCACTGTATGAATGTAAAATGCCCCATTATACCAAAACATAGAAATGAGACAGCATTCCACTATCAGCATTCCACTATTGTGCAAGCAAAGATAGAACCAAAGTTCTCAAACATTCCAACATTCCCCCTCATTACAAGCACAAATTTGATTCCCAGCATGTCAACGTTTCAATATTGTAACTCAAAAAATTCCTAGGCATCAGAACAGGGTCATACGTATGTAAAAATGCCACAGGAAAGCTTTTGCTCTTTCAAATAACCGCATCATATTTGAAAATCCAACATTCTGAAGCATAAATTTGCAATAGAGATGAAGAAGCAGAAGGAACTCTATGTATCTGGGGCAAGAATGCAATGATTCCTACTGAAGCACTGACCTCTCATGCTCTAGCAAAAAGAGAAGGAGAAGAGAAAGGAGAAGAAGGCGAGTGCGAGAGAAGTTTCCTACTCTTGGGAAGGCACAATCGGCTGAAGATAATACCTTAGGTGCGCCGATCTCCGTCAAAGTGAAGGAGCAGAGGGTCGATTCTCCTCGAAAGAGCGAGGGCGAGGGAGATCTCAGAAGGGCAACAGAGGAATTCTTACCCTAAACGCGAAAATCATACACGGGACGCGCGGTTCCTTCGGCTTGCGAAGGTATTAAGGAAATCACGATATCCAAACGCCACAACATTAAATCGTTCAGTCGAACGTGATATTCAAATGGGACGGCGGCGTTTTCAAAACGCCGCCACACCCTATAAGCTGCCCCAAACGGGCACTGAGAGGGAGAGGGGGAACATAAAGAGAAACGAGGAAATGCAAAGGTTTGGAACCTCAAATGCACCCTATGGCCTTCTCAGGTGCCGCTCGTCCCTTGCTATTCGTGACCCAGCTCAATTCCCTTGCACTGTAGCAAGGGCGAAGCTCCCTCGCCTTTTTCTTCGTGTGAACCGAACACAGTGATGGATCGTGAGAGAGAAAAAATAGAAAGAGAAGGAAAATGGGAAGCTCAGTGCCTTATTCGACCGCAAGAAGGAACTAAAAAAATGGTGTAAGTCAGTTGTTAATAGTGCTGCGGAAGATTAAGGAGGGATTAAGAAATAAATAAGGTTTAATTGAAGTAACTTAAATTGAAAACTTTCAAATTTTATATTTCCCAATTCGTTCATATTTATCATATGGTGCTTAATTTGGAATTGATTGATTTGATGCATATAATTTTGTAAAATTAGCTCAATCGAAATATGAGGGCGAAATTGAGGTATATTTTAAATAATCAAAATTTTTCATTAAATTTCTCAAAAAAAAAAAAAAAAAAAAAAAGTGTTATTGCATCCGTAGCATGTATTTGGAGCTTTTGGCCTCTCTTAGGCTCTGGCCTCTTTAGGCTCTTCTCTCTAGATTCTCCCTTGTAGGGAGATCTCCCATTCTATTTTATAACTCCTATTTTCAAGATATAAAATAGATCACATAGCACAGAAATACCCCAGTTTGTCCATACGGGGCAAGTCTGTATGTGTTTTTTATTTCCTTTTCCCCGTCTATCTCTCTACTTCTCCTTTTTCTGGTTCCACTACTCCGATCCTTAGGCATGTCTAATCTGACAAATCTGGATTCAGCATCGACAAAATTTTCCATCTAATATATTGCGGTTACATCATTGTTCTCGTGTTCCATCCTAAGATATCTTCTATGACTGATTTTTTGTGTTTAATAAAAGCCTTCTATAGAACAGACGATTGAGTTGCTATCTGGTAATTTATGATTAAGCTGAAATCTAAATTCAATGTGCATTTTTATCTTCCATTAGAATACGAAATTGGATCTGACCTTTTACTTTTCTCCAGAGTTCAGAAAAAAGAATGCTGGGAGGAAGTCCGGAAATAAAGGGAATGGGGTGACGAAGAAGCGAAAATCTGAGGAAGAGCTTCCAGTAAAGGATGAGAGTGAAAGCAATGTTCATGAAGAAAAGAATTAGCGTCAGTTCTCATTTGCTGCTGAGAATTTTGAACTCCGTTTGTCTTGTTTGTCTTGTCCCGTGTGTTCCCAGTTTTATTTTATCTATCAAATTAAACATTTATATGCTTAATGTCATGAACAGATTTTGCATTTAATATGCGTCATTTAAGTCTTTAGATCATGAAATGATCAATTTTTAAGGCAATTAGAGTAATTTACTTTAACATTCTGATGCCTTTGAATCGTTAATAAATTTTGGATTATTTTTTTTATTATTATTTTTAATGATGCTAGACATGTAATTTTCATCTAAAAAGACTTTATTTATGCAAATTGAAAATTAATGCTTTCACAAGGTCAATTTAGGAGCAGATAAATTAATATTTATTTATTTTTGTGCTCTAGGAAATGTTTATTTCAATATTTTTAATGAGCATAAGATTTCATGAATGGGTACACCACGTAATAATAAATGAAGAGAACTCTTGATAAGGATCGCAAGAGGCTATACCTTAAATTTATATTATGATGGCTTACACTGTTTTCTTTTCCTTACCTCGTGTTAAATATTTTTTTTCGATCTTGTCTCTTATGATTAGAAGAGGTGGTAGGAGGAATGATGGTGGAACTTATTAAGATCATAAGATTACATTATTTAGGGTTGATGTTTTGTAGTCTAAATGGTTGAAGAATTTAGAAGAGATAGACTAACTTCTATGGGGCAAACTGGGTTATTCTTGAGCTCAGATATGAAAATTTGAGTTCCAAAGAGGGGTGACCCCCTAAAAAAGGAAAAAAAACAACTATTATTTGTTATGATCCTCCTATTTATAGGATGTAAGAGGACAATATGTAGAAGTACATGTTTTACTTATGCTTTGGAGCGGATCATATATGGTATTCTAGGGTTTTTTTTTGTTTTTTGTTTTTTTTTGTTTTTTGTTTTTTTTTTTTTTTTTGTTTTTTGTTTTTTTTTTTTTTTTTGCATGTTTGAGCCTATCACTTAGTAGCCATCAGATTGGCCTACTAAAATGACATAAACCAGCTCTTGTTTGGGGTGGTCGGTTGACTCTTAATCGATATGGTAGGTCGGCTCTTGATCAGGATGGTAGGTCGGCTTATCCGATTATTGATCTTGGATGTCATTTGGGGGACCTTTTAGGGAGCTTCTAGTTGTGTCAATATGGTTAGGCGTTGGAGGAGTAAGAGCTTAGTCAATTTTGGGCCTTGAAGGCTCTTGGCTCAGTTAGCTAACACTTGGTCGGACATGTGAGGTCTGATGTTTTCTACCAGAGGATTTTTCATTTGTCCTCCTTAATCTGATTCGTAGATTACCTTTGGATTCATGTTGACACATATTTGGTGCACATATTTTATTTCTGATTCTCTTGCCTCCTGAAAGAGACCACTGTGATATGAACAAGAGAAATTTTAAAGTAAATCTCAATTATCGTAACTAAACAACAATTGAACTATCATGGTTTTGTGTACATCGCCCTGATAAATAGGGCGCGATAGACTATCTTCAGCACTATGCATTTGTCTTTCCTAGAAACCACCAGACTCGCTACATATCCTTATGGAGTTAGGGTCGAATCCCTCACCAAAACCCATGGACCGGAAAAAGTATTGGCCGCCATTGAGATGAAGAAGCAGTGTCACCACAAGGGTAAGCTAAAGAACAAATGGGATAACAAACTCACCAAGAAGCCAAATATATTCGGGCGGATAGATTAGGAGGGGCATCTAATTAGATCCAAGGGGTTCCAAAAAAAGGTCGAGCTAGAGCTAGTGCTAAAAAGGAGTTGGATGGTTCAGGCATTCGTTCGTCGACTAAGTATTTTGTCACAGTTTCAGGTCGAAAAGTTGGTTACTAGAAGCTGTTGGTACTCCTTGATTGGTCAGGGTGCAAGGAGTGAGTGATAGAATTTAGCCGACCAGGATGAAAGGAGCTACTAGTGATCTCCTGCCATTAAATGATGGTGGAGTCTCAAACACTTTGTCTGGGATGAAAAGAATCTTGGGTTTGAGTGGTTTTTCTTGTATATAATCTTTAGATTTTCTTTTTATCATCTTCTTTCCTATGTTTATCTTTCAAAATTATTGAGGGTGCACAAATCAAAAGCTTACTAACTGGTGTTGGCGAGAACTCAGCTAAGGCATTGATGCCTACACACCAGGTGTTGACTGAGAGCGAAAAAAAAGTGGTCAGCTCCCTGACTCACCCTATTGAGATTTGTGAGAGAATTGTCAAGGGATGTAGGGTGTCCCCGAGGATACTAGCTTGCCTCCTGGATGAAGTGGGTATTTCTTTGGCTAAGTTTGTTGAGGCTCAGAGAGAGGACGATTTGTGTGCGGTGCTAGTTCGCTTGGAGGAAGTGTAGGTGGAAACACCAGCTCTCTGCTTGGAGGTGTCTGAAATTCATGAACAGTCTTTCATGCAGAGGGCCATAGCTAAGGTGGACCGAGCGATTCGGTTCAAACTTTTCGGGCAAATGCTGTAGAGGTTACTTAAGAAGGGTCTTTTCTTGGTTGAGGCAGCCAAAGACCAATTCGTAAAAAACCTCTTGTCGTACTAGAGTCCAAATGTAACCTTTAATGGTTTTTGAATAAAATTATATTTTTTTCCTCAAATTTTGTGTTGAAGTGATGCTTCTTCTTTGAAATTGATGTGCGACGGTTCCTCTGCTATTGTGTCCCTATAAATTGGGGTTGTGTGTTTTTCTTGTTCTTGTCCTTGTGCTGTGTTCTTTTGTCTTTCTTCCGTTTCGCTTCTTCCATTTGCTAAAATGTTTCTCTTTTTTTGATGGCCTCAAAGTGTACTCCACATAACTACAAGTTAGTAATTGCGATCGAGCGATTTATTTTGATTTTTTCACAAGTGGTATCAGCATAAAAGGCTTTCATCTTTGACCTCACCATAAAGCTCCGTGCTAGCTACCATGATGAGAAGGCTGCAAATTGATTTGGTGATGAATTTTTCCTTTATTCGGATTAACTGAAGTATGGCTTGAGGGTCGCCCTTTTCAGGGAATTTTTAACCAATATGATGTTATTCTAGCTCAAATTAAGCTTATCTTTATCGTAATTATTATAATGTATGTGGTCTTCGGCTGGAGGATGAGGATTTCCTGGTCGCCAGACTTCTTTACCCACATGTTTTTGTTTTGGGTGGAAGTTGATGGTTGCATTCAATTCGACATGGAAAACAAGTTAAAGGGCGAGAAATTGAAGTTCTTTATCGGCTTGTTTTCCACAAGTTGAGAAATTATGACTGTTTCGACCGAAGGCATCTCTAAGAGGAAGAAGGCGTCAGACACTACCTCATTGAAGGAGTTGTGATTGAAAAGTAGCTCTTGTCTTTTTCTCAATATACCGGCCTTAAGATTGTCAACAAGGTCCTATTTCCAAATGAATTCAGTCAAATGACGGATGAAATGTTGGTTGCCTTTGATGCTGAGGAGATAAAGCAGGCAGATGCTGTCATTGTTTGAACTTTCAGGAAGAATAAGAGAGCTGTGGCTTGGGCAATGATGTTTCTTGCCAAGAAGGTTGTGATAAACAATGAGAAATTGATGGGGGTTTGCGAAGACGATATATGCAACATAGGTTCGAGTTTTATTTTTTCCATTCTGAAACTATGGTGATGATCTAGAAATTATCCACTAGTAAATTGACTATTATAGAGATAAGCCCTTTGATTTTCACTAATACCTATTTCTTGGTTGTAGATCCTCGAGCGAACTAGCACCTAACACAAATGGGTAAATGAGGTAGTAGGCTAGAACTTTTCCTAAACTTAAACACCTTGGTCCCTATGGGTTCGATAACCTGGACTCAAAAGTCCTATATTACAAAAGCGACACGAACACTTGCGTAACACCCTAGAGTACAAGTGCACCTGGACTTAAGCTATGTCCACATCAGCTTTTTGCATCGTTGCCCGGGAGCGGCAATGTAGTTAAATTAGAAGACTTTTAACTGAACCATTTAGATCTAGACTTGGAAATCCATATTATTAGCTTTGTGTTTAATTTCTTGCTTGTTTGAAAAATAAAAATTCTAAAAATAATGTTTGTGTGTTTGTGAGAAACCTACTAGTTGAGTCTTTTGTTAGTGAATGCATAGTGCAGGATCTACATAACTTAAACCCTACGATTCAGAACTAGGGAGAACTATTATGAGGATTAGAAAATAGAAAAGACATCACGAACATGTAAAAGAAATGATGAACAATCAAAAAATCAATTTAGATATCCATGAATTGATTAATGATCATCATAACACGCATAAACCATTACAGGGTTTCGCTAATCCTATGTCAGATGAAATTTAAGTATTCAAACCTCTATTGTAGAAGAAAACAAATTTGAAATTAAGTTTGTTATCATCCAAATGACGTAGAACAATTTGGTGGAACCACATTTGACAATCAAAATTTGCACTTAGCAAGTTTCTTAATACTTTGTGCCACATTTCGCTATAATGGTATGTCAAATGACACTATTAAGCTTAGGCTTTTTTCCTTTTCCTAGAGAGATAAAGCCAAAAAGCGATTGAACCCATTAGCACCTAAATCAATTAGGATGTAGGGTGAATTAGCATAAAAAATCCTAGCTAAGTATTTTTCTCCTTAAAAAATAGCTAGACTTAGGAACGATATTACTTCATTTTGTCAACACGAAGGTGAGTCAATATATGAGGCTTGTGAATGATTTAAGGAGCTTCTTAAAAAGTGCCAACATCATGCACTGCATGATTGGTTAATTTTTTGAACTTTTTAAAATGATTTAGTAGGATCCCTTAGATCTGTTATTAATGCTACCGCTAGTGGATCACTCATGTCAAAGCCATTTTATGAAGCTTATTCTCTGATAGAAGAGATTGCCACTAACAATTTCCGATGGCCTTCTGAGAGGGTCAGCCATAAGAAGGTAGCTAGTGTACATGACATAGACGTGCCTCAGGTAGCAACCATATAGAGGAAGCTAGATCGATTCAGAATGACCAACCTCAAGTACCTCCAACAATTGAGGAAAATTTGTTTGGATAATTGCTTGATGTTAATACTTCATCATTTGAAGCCATAAATGCAATTAACAAAAAACTCAACAATCCTTATTCTAATTTCTATAACTCAAGTTGGAAGAACCATCCTAACTTTAATTGAAACAACTATGGTGGGGA